TATGCTGGCATCAGACGCCTGCAGCAATACTACAGCATCATGTCGATGCTGCTCAAGAAGGGGATGAACATGCTCGTCTTCGCATCGAAGTGTGTGGGCTGCGACCAGTCGCTCGTGGGAGCCTGTCGCGAATGCGTTCCGCATGTCGTATGACTTACAAAGAAACGACATTCGGGCTGATCTCATCTTCCATATCAAAAGCATAGCAATAAGCATGAGCGGCTCGCGGCGACGGGAATGAATGCCTCCGTAAGCCCGCGGCGGTGGGTCGAATTGGGTTCCATACTGACTGAGTCCTATCTTAAGATACAATCGCCAAAAGTGGTCGAAACAATGAAGTAAACGCACGCATGCATGAATATCCTGAATCACGTTGCCAGTGGGACATTTCCTTTTTTTTTTGCCGATGGCGACCGCCTGGCTAGTAAAAGGCTGGGCGGGTAGAGATCCACATCGATGGACGTGGGCGAGTAGTGTGGCGAAGGTCTGGATGATGGTGGAGCTGACGTCGTGGTCGATCACGAGCTTCCGTCGACTGGGTTGGTAGACTCGCTCGGCGAGCGTGTCCGCATATTGATCGTCTGCAGCGTCATGTCCCATCCCTGCCCTTTGAACGCCAGGGCGCGTCAAATACTGTGGGGCGAGGAGCATGATGGTGAGTTCGATGGGCCACGCCCAAGGTGGATTGTAACGCCTCCGTTTCTCCCTCCACAGCCGTTTCTGCAGATGGCCGAGCTCCTCTGCTGCTGTATCGATGTCGTGGAGCTCAGGGGCGCCGACGCGCTCCCCCACCGGTTGAATGTCGTCCGATTGGGCCAAGAATCGTGGAATTAGATGTCGGGTCGTCGATATACATACTGACGTAGGCAGGCGTGGCCGAAAGTCCCCCTTGAACGGCTGGTTGAGTAAGGGCGTCTGTGTATTCGGCTGCGGCGGGGCGCGTGGATGGTAGTGCAAGGTGTGATCGTCGTCGTGGCCCCGTCCGTCGCCCTGCTCGGATGTACGTAAGGTGTGCGACTCGGGAGAGGTCGCGAGTAGCCCACGCGTCGCGGATGTCCTGGTCAAGACTGACTTTCCACCAGTGGTCCATCCAGCGCTGGCGTGCTCGTAGTCGTCGTTGTATCTCGCGCAGGGCCGCATGGTTGAAGGGCAGTCGTCGAGCTCGGTAGTCGGCGCGTTCTTTAGGCAAGCGGAGGCGTTCAAGTCGAGCTGGTTGGTGCCATTGTGGCTGTCTCCCCCCTTCCTGTGTATAATAATGGCGGCCGCATTCACGAATGATAAGGGCGATGAGTGCGTTGTGGCGGGTCGGAAACTGATCCATCTTGACAACTCGGATGACCTCCCTGTGTTTGCTGATCTCGGCGTATACGTCATTGAGAAAAGCAGCACGGTGGGCGCACGTCTGTAGCCCAGCAGCGAGGAGGCCGAAGTCCCAGCGGATGTTGTTGTTCGTGATGTTGGCGCCGCTGACAGGCATCTTGATCTGCATGAGCATGGGGACGTGATCAGCAACGTGCAGTAGGCTACGTAGTTTGGCGTGTATCTTCCAATTCAACTTCGCGTATTTCACAATCTCCATGAGATTGTCGTAGCCCTATGAAGTAGTCGATGCGTGATCTGGCTTTGTTGGGCCCGTAGTAAGTGTTGCCCACGTCAATGTGCGTGTTGATGGCTGTCAGCTGATGGGTCAGCATCTGGTCGTGAATAAAGCGTCCGAACTCGTTCTCGTCGCTGGCGTGGTAGCTGCCGATCGCACTGTCAGTATGGAGCTGTCGTGATCGTCGTCCTAGTCCTTGGTTGAGGTCTGTGAACAGGATGGGTGTGACGCGGGTGGGAGTGTCGGTGAGTGTCTGCAGTATCCAGCTCCATAGTCGTCGGCATCCTGCTTTCCAATGTTGGTGACTACCCGCTCCGTTCGGCCTTGGTGGGAACTACGCCACAATGAGTCGAATGCGGGGCTGGCCTCGGTGGAGCTTGACGGCGCCTGCGCGGCCCCGTAGGTCGGTTTTTTTTGGGGGGGGTAGGACCTTGACGCTGTCTATCTTTCGGAAGTGGCGCCTAGATACCGCAATGCTGCAGCCCGCTGAGCTATTCGCGTGGCCCCCCCTGCCCCATCTGGTGCAGGCTGTCCTCAATATGGTGCGGGGCGTAGGTAGTGCGTTGGCGTATCTTGGTGCCTACGTACATCATGATCTGTATAGCACGGCACGTGTCGGAGATGTGATCGAGACGTCCTGGAACTCCCTTGAGCGAGAATGGGTTCCATCCCAATATTGTGATGGCCTTCGTGGTGGCTTGGTGTGGGCGTACGTCAGGGTCAGGGCGGCGTGGGGGTTGGCTGGCCGTCTCGCTATGTAGATGGGACGGCCCCCCCCCCTATTTCCAGAAATCACACTGGGGGCAGGAGGCGTCGGGGAGGGTGGGAGAAGGCCAGGCGGAGAGGCGTCGGCGGAGAAGTAGGTGGGTCGTCGGGCTGGAAATTGATGATCAAGGCGTTCGTCGCATGGTTCCCGTTCATGCCGAAATTCAATTCCAGGTGGTAATTCAATGTCAGCACGCCATTGTTCCACTGGTGGCAATTCATGGTCTGCGTGGTGTAATCCTGCATGTGCTGGCCCTCCGTGTCCGTGTTGATGTTGAAATTGAAGCTCAGCGTCCAGCAATTCAAGATCAGCGTGTTGTAATCCTGCATGTGCTGACCCTCTATGTTCGTGATGCTGTTGAAATTGATGTTCAGCTTCCAGTGGTGGTCCTTCGCGGACTGGGTGTGGAGGTGATGGTGGTGATGCTGGGGTCGGGGCTGGGCGGCGGCTGTAGCGCGGGACTCGTGCGCGTCGTGGTGGGCCCTGTAGTTCCCGTGCTGCCGCATCGGCGTTGTCGTCTGGCTGGTGGTCAGGTGCCATGCGTTCGTCCATGTTCAGCGAGCAGGTCCTGTCGCTCAGCAGGTGCGCGGCGCCCGCGCTCTGGAGCACAACCTTGGCGGCATGGCTGTCTGCGGGGTATCGTCAAGGCGGCCCTCTGCCTTTCGGGCAAGGTGAGAGGGCGGTGACTGGAGGCCGCTGCTCCTTCGATGGCCTGAGCCTCGGCGGCCTTTGATGATGATGATGATGATGCTGATGATGATGATGAAAATGATGAAAATGATGATGATGCTGATGATGATGATGATGATGATGCTGATGATGATGATGATGATGATGGTGATGATGGTGATGATTTTGCTGATGCTTATGCTACAGCGATGAAGATGACGATGTCGACGGCGACTGGGTTTTCAATAATGATACAGGGGGAGGGCAATGAGGAGGAAGATGCGGAGGAGGAGGAGGCGGAGGAGGAGGAGGAGGAGGCGGAGGAGGAGGAGGAGGAGGAGGCCAGCGCCGAGGGCGTCGGGGCGATCGCTCGACACTGCCCGCAGCTCGAAGCTCAAAGGAGGCGGGGAGGAGGAGGAGGGGGAGAAGGAGCAGGACAATCTTGATGGACGGAAAGGGTTAATGATGAGGATGCATAGGTCGAGGACGCGGAAGGGGGTGTGGGAGGGATGGGAGGAGGTGGGGAGGAGGGGGCGAGTGAGGGAGGCCGGGAAAGGCAGGAAGGAGGAACATGAGGAAGAGGAGGTGGAGGAGGAGGAGGAGGACGGATGATGATGATGATGATGATGATGATGATGATGATGATGATGACGATGATGATGATGTTGATGATGATGAGGATGTTGATGAGGATGTTGATGATGGTGGTGGTGGTGATGATGATGTTGAAGATGATGATGCTGATGCTGATGATGACGATGATGATGATACTTATGCTGATGATGATGGTGATGACGCTGATGATACTGATTATGATGATACTGATGATGATGCTGATTATGATGATACTGATGGTAATAGTGATGATGATGGCGACGACGATGTCAATGATGCTGCTGCTGTTGTTGATGATAATGAGATGCTGGTGGTGATGATGATGATGATGAACATGATGCTGGTGTTGGCGGTGATGATGATGATGATGATGATGATGATGATGATGAGGATGATGAGGATGATGGTGCTGTTGTCGATGATGACGTTGTCGTTGTTGATGTCGATGTCGATGTTGATGGTGATGGTGATGCTGATGGGGAGGAGGAGGAGGAGGACGAGGATGACGATGAGGACGAGGATGAGGATGAGAATAATGATGATGATGACGATGATGATGCTGATGCTGCTGATGATTATGCTTATGATGCTGTTGATGACGATGACGATGATGATGACGATGATAATGCTGATGATGAGGATGATGATGGTGATGCTGATGGTGAGGACGATGATGAGGATGATGATGATGATGAGGGTGATGATGATGATGATGATGATGATGATGATGATGATGATGATGATGATGATGATGATGATGATGATGATGATGATGATGATGATTTTGATGACCATGCTGATGAGGGGGATGACGATAATGATGATGCTGATGATAATGGTGATTATGATGATGCTGTTGATGATGATGATGATGCTGATGATGATAATGACGGTGGTGAGGATGATGATGCTGATCATCATGATGATGATGTTGATGTTGCTGATTATAACGAGGATGATGATGATGATGCTGATGATGATGATGATGATGATGATGATGATGATGATGATGATGATGATGATGATGATGCTAATGCTGATGTTGATGATGAAGAGGAAGAGGAAGAGGAAGAGGAAGAGGAAGAGGAGGAGCAAGAGGAAGAGGAAGATAATGAGGATGAGGATGCGGATGAGGATGAGGATGAGGATGAGGATGCGATGAGGATGAGGACTAGGAGGAGGAGGAGGAGGAGGATCAGGATTAGGAGGAGGAGGAGGAGGAGCAGGAGACAGAGGAGGAGGAGGAGGAGGAGGAGGAGGAGGAGGAGTGAAGAGGACGATTAGTAAGAGAGAGAGAGAGAAAGAAAGAAAAACAACAAAAAAATAGAGAAAGAGAGAAGGAGCGCCGGGAAGGCGGTGCAGGGCAGCCCACGGCCGACGCCGAAGGGCAGCCCGCGGCTGGCGCGCAGCCCGACGCTGGCGCCGGCGTCCGAGGGGTGTCAGGAGGCGCGGCGGGGGGAGCAAACCTCTGCCCTCCCCCTCTCTCGTTCTCTCTTTCTCTCTTTATATCTCTCTCTGTCTCAGTCTGTCTGTCTCAGTCGCAGTCTCGCTCTCTCCCTCTCTCTCTCTCTCTCCCGTTCTCTCCTTCGATCCCTCCCTGTACTCTCGGCCCGAGTGCCCCTGCGGCACGTTGCGCCGCCCTGGTCGCTGGCTCTCCAGCTCCTGCCCCTCTCACCCTGGCGAGACTGGATCGTGCCCAGCCCACAGGCGCGAGATAGACAGCGATCGTGGCCACCGCCCTGTCTCGGCCGCCGTGGCCGCCGCCCGCCGCGCCCGCAGCGACACCGCTCGCAGGCGTGGCCGCCGCGACGCAGCATCCAAAGCCGACGCTGCACTCGCTCCTGCGGACGCGAGCGTCGCTGTCCTGGCCAAGGCCAGCTCCGGCCATCCCTCAGCGGCGTGCGACCTCCTCCTCCGCGCCGACTGGCCTGCCCTCGAAGGCAAGAGCCGCCAGCTCGTGCGCAGTCCTGAACCGCTTAGGGCCGCTGTTCTCTTCCCTCCTCCCTCCGCCCTCCGCCCTCCTCCCTCCTCCCTTCTCCGTCCTCCCTCCTCCCTCCTCCCTCCTCCTGGTCCTTCCTCCTCCTTCTCCTCCTCCTCCTCCTCCTCCCTCCTCCTCCTCCTCTTCCTCCTCCTCCCTCCTCCTCCTGCTCCTCCTCCATCCCTCCCTCCACCTCCTCCTCTCCTCCTCCTCCTCCTCCTCCTCCTCCTCCTCCTCCTCTCACCGTCACCCTCACCCTCACCCTCCACCCTCACCCTCACCCACACCTCACCCTCCTCCTCCTCTCCTCCTCCTCCTCTTCCTCCTCCTCCTCCTCGTCCTCCTCCTCCTCCTCCTCGTCCTCCTCCTCCTTCTCCTCCTCCTCTTCCTCCTCCTCCTCCTCCTCCTCATCTTTACTTCCGATGAGTAAACACCCCCACATCCCCACCTAGCCTGCCGATGGCAACCCCGCAGTCCGAACCGTCAAACAACAACACAAACTCATTTTGTTTTCTCGCCAGCATGTCGTCGAGTTGCGAAAAGTGCAGCAGGAATGGGACGGAATTAACATCGCTTGGGTAACCGGAGGCAGGTGGTCGCGTTCTACCCATCAACAAACAATACACAGTCAACGTTTTTCTCGTCAACATGGATTTTCTTGTTGTCGACGCTGCGAAAAGTGTAGCAGGAATGGGACGCGGTGCACATCGCGCGCGGACGCCTGGCCAACCTTACGCGGGACCATCCGTCCTACCTGTCAAAAAACAGCGCAACGTCGACGTTTTCCTTGCCAACATGCACTTCCTTCTCGTCGGCGCTGCGAATCGCGTAGCGGGAACGGGATGCGGCGCACATCGCGTGGGGACGCTGCTCGTCAACATGGACTTTCTTGTCGTTGACGCTGCGGCCCGTCGGGTTGAGGAGCTGGGCGGGCAGCAAGTCATAATGCCTTAAGCAAGTGCGATTCGCCGCACTTCGCGCGTTGGACATGTTGTCGCCGACGATGTAACATGAGAGGCCGGAGCAGGGCGCGGCGTATATCGCGCGCAGTCTTGTTTTTCGTCGACGTTGCTCAACACGCGGCAGGAATAGGACGCAGCTCGTGTCGCGCGCTGAACGTCTAGCCGCCCACGGTATATAAGATAAGCGACAGGCATCGGACGCGATGCATGTGCTTCTTATGTTCTGGGAGGGCGGGTGGGAGTGGACGGAGCCCTCTGGCTCGTTCGAGCTGGTTAACTTGACCCTCGCCCCCACCCTCCTCCTCTCTCCTCCTTCTTCCTCATCCTCCCCCTCCTCCTCATCCTCCCCCTCCTCCTCATTCTTCTCCACTTCCTCCTCCTCCTCATGCTCCTCCTCCTCCTCCTCCTCCTCGTCCTCATCCATTCCTTCTCCTTCTAAATAATTTCTCCCCGTCGCACCCCCAGGCCAGTTTTTAGGGCGGGCCGTGTTTTTTCGCTTGAGACTTCCGCACCCTTCATGACCCTGAAGTTTAAACATTGGCTACAGTTTCACAGATGCAGGGCGGGTGGTTTTCAAAATGTTGCTCTCGCCTGCGCGCCGCGCACATCCGTTTTAAACACTTGCAAGAGCTTCACGGATTGAGGGCGACCCGTTTTCAAAATGTGGTTCTCGCCGTAGCGCCGCGCATATTCGTTTTCAAAATTCGCAAGAGCTTCACGGATTGAGGGCGGCGCCTTTTCAAACTGTGGTTCTCGCATTAGCGCCGCGCACATGCGGTTTGAGAACGTGCAAGAGTTCCACGGGATCCCACGATCAACGTACCAGAAATAGCGTTTTGGACGGATTCTGGATTATGGGTCATGGGGTTGCAGCAGTTACATTGGTTCGCAGTGTTGAAGTTCCAGGAATGGCGTTCTCGCACGCTTCAGGATCGCCAGGACGCATCAGTCAGGTTGATCCGTGGCGTCGGAATCCCGAAAACATTTTTTTGGCATGGTTCCGTGTCTTCAAACGGCTGTTTTCCAACGACGCATTTCCCTAGGTGCAAATGAGCTTTGGTAGAGGCCTACGAAGAGGAATATTGGAGGGAGGGTTTGTTGCAACATCGTTGATGACTTTTGGGTTTGCACTGGTCCTCCTCCTCATCCTCCTCCTCCTCCTCCCTCCTCCTCCTCCTCCTTCCTCCTCCTCCTCCTCTTCCTCCTCCTCCTCCCTCCTCCGCCTCCTCCTTCCTCCTCGTCGTCCTCCTTCTCTCCCACGTCATCCCCTCCTCCTCCTCCTCCTCCTCCTCCTCCTCCTCCTCCTCCTGCTCCTGCTCCTCCTCCTCCTCCTCTTTTCCTCCTCCCCCTCCTCCTCCTCCTCCTCCTCCCTCCTCCTCCTCCTCCTCCTCCTCCCCTCCTCCTCCTCCGCCTCCTCGTCCTCCTCCTCCCTCCTCCCTCGTCCCTCCCTCCTCCTCCCTCCTCCCTCCTCCCTCCTCCCTCCTCCCTCCTCCCTCCCTCCTCCTCCCCCTCCTCCTCCTCCTTTTCCTCCTCCTCCTCCTCCTTCCCTCCTCCTCCTCCACCTCCTCCTCCTCCCCTCCTCCTGCTTCTCCCTGGTCCTCCTCCTCTTGCTCCTTCTCCTCCTGCTGTTCTTCCTTCTCCTCCTGCTCCTCCTTCTCCTCCTCCTCATCCTCCTCCTTCTCCTCCTCCTCCTCCTCCTCCTCCTTCTCCTCCTCCTCCTCCGGCCTCTGGCCTCCAGCCTCCTCTGGCCTCCTGCCTCCTCCTCCCCTCTCCTCCTCCTCCTCCTCCTCCTCCTTTCCTCCTCCTCCTCCTCCTCCTCCTCCTCCTCCTGCTCCTCCTCCTCCTCTTCTTCCTCCTCCTCCTCCTCCTCCTCCTTCTTTTCCTCCGCACTGCCGAGGACGTCGCCGAAGGTCTTCCGAGCGACCCCGGCCTCCAGCAAAAGCCGCCGCTCCCCGCCTTTGGGGAGGCGCCCCTCGCCGCCCCAATCGTGGGCCGAGGTGGCTGGGGGGGGGTCTTTCTCTCCTTTCCCTGCTCCTCCTCCTCCTCCTCCTCCTCCTCCTCCTCCTCCTCCTCCGTAGCCATTTTGGCTCAAGAGCGTCAGGGCCGCGCCGCGCGGGGTAGCCCCTTCATGTGCTCGGTCGCCCGCCGCTGAGCGGGACTTCTGTCATGGCGTCGCTGCGCCGATGCTGCTGATCGTTGCCCTTCTTCTCTTTCTTCCTCACCTTCGAGTGGGACTCGCTGCAGCTGGGATGCTTCGCTGCCGCTCGTGGGTGGCCGCGCTGGCTGGTGGTGCACCTCTCTCTGCATCTCAAGCCCGCCGACGGGAGCGGGACCTGTTCTACGTCACGTCGCACAGTGCGCCAAACAAGTCGTTCGTGGAGGTCGACTCCGCCGACTACAAGGATGTCAAGAGGATGGCTCGCGGCAAGGCGCTCCACCGACAATTGGACGCTGCTGGTCTGCTGGCTGGCGTCCCGCCAGCTGCTGCTGGCAAGGTGGCTGCCCACCGTGCTCTGCGACGTGGCGAGCTTTCTCCGAGTTCCCATGCGCTCGCTCGCTCGATCTTGGTACAGGCCGATCGTGCCAAGCATGTTCACAGCTCATTATGTCCTCTCCCACCTGCTCGGCGCGTTGCTGGTGCTCGCCCCCGCGGCGCTGATGTCCGTCTGCGCTGGGCCGACTGCGTCGAGATCCATTCTTTTGCTACTGATAGCTGCGACGCTGCTGACGCTGAGGCTGCTGGGTCGTCTCCTGCGCCTCCCAGTGGCGGCACCGCGGGTCTGCACGACGGCTTGCCTGACACACAGAACGCCCCGATCGACAAGCGGAACCATTGCAGGTGTGGTTGTTGCGACATGTACGACTCCATCGTCGCGCGCTTGGACAAGATGGAAGAGTCCCTCAACATGTTATCCGCTCGTTCGGCTACCTGGGGGGCTCTGGATCAATGCACCATTGCGCTCGCCTCGCAGGGTTCGCGGTGGCCTTTTCCTTATTGTGTCTCTCCCTCGTGGCAGGGCTTCTACGTATCTGACCAGACCCTTTGTGCTGGGGAGGCCTCGCGGGACAACGATTCCGCTGATCGAGTTAACGCTGCTCGCTTACTTCCTGGTGCTGTTGGCGGTGCTGGCGCTGCTGCCGGTTCTGGGCATGGCGCTGGCGATGCAGGTGTTCTGGGCCCTGATATGGGTTCTCTTCGGGTCTGCTCGGTGGAGCGGGGCAAGTCCGGTGAGCGGGACGGTGCTGGACTTCCGGGGGTGGTGGCTCTCGACTTCTATTGCTTGAAGGTCCTGCCCGAGGGCCCACGGGTCGCTACCTGCAAGGCCTGCAAATCTTTCCCTGGTTGTGGCCTAGGCGACTACTGCGAGCTCTCACATCTAACCGTGGTGTCCGACCTGGCGTTAGCTGAAGAACATGAGCGCCTAAGTCAGCAGTTCTTGCATTTCGTGGGGTACAGCCGCTCACCACATCTCTCTGGCACGCTCGCGCGGCTGGCCGCAACGCTCTTGATCTTCACGCACTTCGGGAATTGGAGGCCGCTTCGGTTGTTGCGGCACCTTCGAGTTCGGCGGCAACTTCAACCACGTCTGGTGCAGCTTCGGGTTCAGCGTCCCCTGCTGCTACCTCGGGTACTGGGACTCCTTCGGCTACTCCTTCGAGATTGATGGCAACATCGAAGTCTGCGGCTGCAGCGCTGTGTGCACACTCAGTGGCTCCTACGCCGTTGAGTTCCGCAGTGGGTTCGGGCGCGGTGAGTTCGGCGGCAGCTTCAAATTCTCTGCTGCAGCTTCGGGCGCTGCGGCTCCTTCGGCTATGAGTTCTGCTGTGACTTTGGGCTCGGTGAGTTCGGTGGCAATTTTTATTTTCCCTGGTGCAGCCTCAGGTTCGGGTGGGGCTCATAGCGGTCCGAGGGCGGATCTGCACGGTCTTCGCGCGGACCCCCCTGGGCGTGATGACGCTCCCCCAGCTCTGGTCGGCGTACGCTGTGCTGTCGAGCCTGGTATGCCAGATGTCGACTTCACTGCTCTCCTGGGTGACGCTCGTGGTGACGATGGGGGTGACTATGACGATGAGTTTACTGCTCTACTGGGTGGCATCGCTCTGGGTGACGGTCGTGACGACGGCACGGCCGACAGTGGCAGTTGTACGTCTGTGGCTCCTCAGACACATGCACACCGATGGGCGGTTCCTGGTGCGCCGTTCCTGCAGCGTGGGGACCTCTTCTCGCTTCGCGGATGCAGCTCTCGTCTTGCTGCGCTGGCGGAAGGACTGGTTCAGCGCAAAGGCATCGAGCACTACTTCAACCACGATGGCATGGCCACCTCCCCGCAGCCGCGCGTGGACTCCCTTTCTTCCAACTCTGACGGCATCGCCGTCGTCGACACCTTCTCCAAGGGCGTCGGTTCTTTGACAGCGACGACTTTTACCAGGAGCTCTCCGCCGAGGAGCACCTGAGGACAGGCCCTGCGGGGGCCGACGGCGGCGGCGGCGCGGCCAGCGCGGCCTAGACAGAGACGCGCCCTTCAGTGGCGTGGGATCCTCCTCCTCCTCCTCCTCCTCCTCCTCCTCCTCCTCCTCCTCAGCCTCCGCCTCCGCCTCCGCCTCCGCCTCCGCATCCTCCTCCTCCTCCTCCTCCTCCTCCTCCTCCTCCATTCTTTTGCTACTGATAGCTGCGACGCTGCTGACGCTGAGGCTGCTGGGTCGTCTCCTGCGCCTCCCAGTGGCGGCACCGCGGGTCTGCACGACGGCTTGCCTGACACACAGAACGCCCCGATCGACAAGCGGAACCATTGCAGGTGTGGTTGTTGCGACATGTACGACTCCATCGTCGCGCGCTTGGACAAGATGGAAGAGTCCCTCAACATGTTATCCGCTCGTTCGGCTACCTGGGGGGCTCTGGATCAATGCACCATTGCGCTCGCCTCGCAGGGTTCGCGGTGGCCTTTTCCTTATTGTGTCTCTCCCTCGTGGCAGGGCTTCTACGTATCTGACCAGACCCTTTGTGCTGGGGAGGCCTCGCGGGACAACGATTCCGCTGATCGAGTTAACGCTGCTCGCTTACTTCCTGGTGCTGTTGGCGGTGCTGGCGCTGCTGCCGGTTCTGGGCATGGCGCTGGCGATGCAGGTGTTCTGGGCCCTGATATGGGTTCTCTTCGGGTCTGCTCGGTGGAGCGGGGCAAGTCCGGTGAGCGGGACGGTGCTGGACTTCCGGGGGTGGTGGCTCTCGACTTCTATTGCTTGAAGGTCCTGCCCGAGGGCCCACGGGTCGCTACCTGCAAGGCCTGCAAATCTTTCCCTGGTTGTGGCCTAGGCGACTACTGCGAGCTCTCACATCTAACCGTGGTGTCCGACCTGGCGTTAGCTGAAGAACATGAGCGCCTAAGTCAGCAGTTCTTTGCATTTCGTGGGGTACATCCGCTCACCACATCTCTCTGGCACGCTCGCGCGGCTGGCCGCAACGCTCTTGATCTTCACGCACTTCGGGAATTGGAGGCCGCTTCGGTGGTTGCGGCACCTTCGAGTTCGGCGGCAACTTCAACCACGTCTGGTGCAGCTTCGGGTTCAGCGTCCCCTGCTGCTACCTCGGGTACTGGGACTCCTTCGGCTACTCCTTCGAGATTGATGGCAAGATCGAAGTCTGCGGCTGCAGCGCTGTGTGCACACTCAGTGGCTCCTACGCCGTTGAGTTCCGCAGTGGGTTCGGGCGCGGTGAGTTCGGCGGCAGCTTCAAAATTCTCTGCTGCAGCTTCGGGCGCTGCGGCTCCTTCGGCTATGAGTTCTGCTGTGACTTTGGGCTCGGTGAGTTCGGTGGCAACTTTTATTTTCCCTGGTGCAGCCTCAGGTTCGGGTGGGGCTCATAGCGGTCCGAGGGCGGATCTGCACGGTCTTCGCGCGGACCCCCCTGGGCGTGATGACGCTCCCCCAGCTCTGGTCGGCGTGCGCTGTGCTGTCGAGCCTGGTGTGCCAGATGTCGACTTCACTGCTCTCCTGGGTGACGCTCGTGGTGACGATGGGGGTGACTATGACGATGAGTTTACTGCTCTACTGAGTGGCATCGCTCTGGGTGACGGTCGTGACGACGGCACGGCCGACAGTGGCAGTTGTACGTCTGTGGCTCCTCAGACACATGCACACCGATGGGCGGTTCCTGGTGCGCCGTTCCTGCAGCGTGGGGACCTCTTCTCGCTTCGCGGATGCAGCTCTCGTCTTGCTGCGCTGGCGGAAGGACTGGTTCAGCGCAAAGGCATCGAGCACTACTTCAACCACGATGGCATGGCCACCTCCCCGCAGCCGCGCGTGGACTCCCTTTCTTCCAACTCTGACGGCATCGCCGTCGTCGACACCTTCTCCAAGGGCGTCGGTTTCTTTGACAGCGACGACTTTTACCAGGAGCTCTCCGCCGAGGAGCACCTGAGGACAGGCCCTGCGGGGGCCGACGGCGGCGGCGGCGCGGCCAGCGCGGCCTAGACAGAGACGCGCCCTTCAGTGGCGTGGGATCCTCCTCCTCCTCCTCCTCCTCCTCCTCCTCCTCCTCAGCCTCCGCCTCCGCCTCCGCCTCCGCCTCCGCATCCTCCTCCTCCTCCTCCTCCTCCTCCTCTTCCTCCTCCTCCTGCTCCTCCTTCTTCTGGTCCTCCTCCTCCTCCTCCTCCTCCTCCTCCTGCTCCTCCTCCTGCTACTGCTCCTCCTCCTCCTTCTCCTCCTCCTCCTCCTCCTCCTCCTCCTCCTCCTCCTCCTCCTCCTCCCGCATTCCCTACTCCCGCGCACGCTGTGCTTCGCAACAAGTCTAAAAAGCGTCCAGCAACCCACCGCGGACTCCCCCGCGGCCGCTGCGGCGAGAGGCGGGGGCCGAGCTGGCGGCCTTGGGTTGCCGCGTCGACCAGGGCATCGCAGAGCCTGCGCGCCCCGCGTCGGGCTCCTCTGGCCGTGGAGGCCATCGGCAAGTGGGCTGCGCCCTGGTGTTTGGGCACGTCGGGCCGTGCAAGTCGCAACCAAAGCACTGCGGAAGCCCTGCATCAGCTCATGTCCACGAGGGCAGACGCGGAGAGCGCGTCTGCCCCGGCGGCGCCAGCCTTGGCCCCGCCGCTGGCGCCACCGGTGGGCTCTGCTGCGGCACTGGACCCCCCCCCCCCCGAGCGAGCTGCGGCGAACACAGCCGAGACGCTGATAGCAGGACCACGTCGGGTCCAGGAGGGGCTGTGGTCTCCGGGCCGGTCCCCAGATCCACGTCGGGGAACATTCGTGGCCGAGGCTCGCCGTGGCCCGGGAAACCCCCCTCGTTCCTTCTGCCTCCCTGCGTCCTCTACAGTCAACCCGCGTAGTAAGGATGGGCAACCTTCCCAATGGCACCCTAGCTTGTTACCTTGCCTCCTCGGTCCTCCTTGGCCCCATTCTTTGGCCACGCCCCGCTCGAAGAGCTTCGACATGGGCGTCCGAGGCCCCTGCAGCCTTATCGCGCATCCTCATGATACGGGCCGCCTGTGTGGCGGCGCGGTGGCTGTGCCTTTTTGCGCCCGCCGCGGCGGCGGACGGGATCGGCGGGGGCCCGCCCAGGCCCGCCGCCCCAGACCCCCGACGTTGAGATTTTTGCCATTGCGCCGACCCCCCGAGGTCCCGACCCCTTCCCCGCGACCGGTTTCTCCTCCTGGGTCGTTGTGTGGACGGCCTCGCGAGGCCCGGGTAAGGGCCTGTCAGGGGCCCCCAGAGGCCGAGAGCAGCGAGAGACCTTCCGCCGTGCTCTTTTTCACAGCGCGATGGGGTCTGGGTTCGTCCTCCTCCTCATCTTCCTCTTCCTCTGCTTCCTCCACCACCTCCTCCTCCTCCGCCTCCTCCTCCTCCTCCGCCTCCTCCGCCTCCTCCTCCTGCCATGGTGGCACAGCTTGACATCGGGACCGAGACGCGCTCCAACCAGGCGACCTCAGGGCGCCTGCGCGCGGACCCGCCTCCGCAGACCCGGCGAGAGGAGGGGGACCAAAAGCAGGGCCGCGCCCTCGGGCGTGGCGGCGGGAGCGGACCCTCCGAGAGTCCCTGCGCGCCGCTGCGGCGAGAGCACCATTCATCCCTTTTATGGTTTCTGCTCCTCTCTCTCTACATGCGGCTGTTGCTCCTCTCTCTCTCTCTTTCGTTCTCTTTTTTGTTTCTCTCTCTCTCTCTTTCTCTCTCTCTCTCTCTCTCTCTCGGGTGGAGCAAGGACGGAGGCTGAGTTTGTAGCATAAGAGGGCGAAGGGGCCCTGCGGGCGCGGCAGGCGCCGCGGCAGCAGCACGAGCCAGCGCCCCTCGCGGCAGCCAGACCGGCGCCGCTCCCGCAGGCCTCTCCGCAGCCGGGCTGCCGCCGCAGCCGCCTCCGCTGCCGCCGCCGCTGCCGCTGGGCCAGAGCGACGAGGCAAGGCTGCTCGCGGTGGGGGCGTTCGATAAGGGCGGAGGCTGGGCTTGCGGCAAGAGGGCGAAGGGGCCCTGCGGGCGCGACGAGCGCCGCGGCGGCGGCGCGGGCCGCCGCCCCGCGCGGCGGTCGGGCCGGCGCCGCTCCCGCGGGCCTCTCCGCGGCCGGGCTGCCGCCGCCGCCGGCTCCGCTGCCGCCGCCGCTGCTGCCGCTGGGCCGGGGCGGTGGGGCCAGGCTGCGTACGGTGGGGGCGTTCGTTAAGGGATATGCCCGGGAAGCCTCAGACCCTGGAGGATTCCTGGGCAGCCTTCCCAAGGGTACCCTTGCATCCCTGCACCTTCGGCCCATCCTTGGCTTCTTTCGTTGGGGGGGCCGCGCTCCGCTCGAAAAGCTTCGACATGGGCGTCCAAGGCCCTTGCGTCCTTATGGCGCATCCTTATGATACGGACCGACTGTACAGTGGGGGCGTTCGTTCAGGAACGTGTCCAGGAAGCTTCAGACCCGAGGATCCCATGCCTTTCCTGACGAGGTCGGCGTCGGCGGTGAGATCAGTGGCCAAGCCTCAATTGGTGCTCCACCGGCTGACAGGCCCTGGATTCCTGATCCGAGGGTTCCTTATCCACCGCCCTCGCCGTGCGGATCGGCGCGGCTGCATCCTGGGCGCGGAAACTGGGCGGCAGTGGCGGACGCATCCCACGTGCAGCCGCCTCGCGGCGGCGGGCTGCCGGCTCTGGAGCGGCACGTCTCGGCGGCAGCGCCGCCGCCGCCGCTGCCGGCCCGCCGCTGCCGGCCCGCCGCTGCCGCCGCCACCTCTGCCGCCCCCGCCGCGCCGCTGCCGCCGCTACCTCTGCGCGCCCCGGTCGCCTCCGCAGAGGCCTCGCAGGACGGCGCGCCCCAGAGGCAGGCGCCTGCCGCCGCGGTGCGGGCCGACGCCGCCCACCGCAGCGGCATGCCCGAGGCCTAGGTCTTGATCCGTCGTCGTCGTCGTCGTCGTCGTCGTCGTCGTCGTCGTCGTCGTCGCCGTCGCCGTCGCCGTCGCCGTCGCCGTCGCCGTCGCCGTCGCCGTCGCCGTCGCCGTCGCCGTCGCCGTCGCCGTCGCCGTCGCCGTCGCCGCCGTCGTCGCCGTCGCCGTCATCTCCGTCGCCATCGCCGTCGCCGTCATCTCCGTCGCCATCGCCGTCGCCGTCATCTCCGTCGGCGCGAGGAGGATCAAGATTGTGCCCGACTGAGGTCACCGGTCAGGCCCGGCGCCTCGCCCCCGCTCCTCGGTGGGCGCCCTTGGCCGCCAGCCAGCGCCCTGGCGCCAGCCCCCACTGCAGCTGGCCAGGGCCGCACTGCTTCAGGAGCCCGCGGCGGTGCTCCGTCCCAAGCGTGCCGCATACTGAGCGAGCCAGCGCGCCCCTGCCGCTCCGCCCAGGACTGGCCGAGCACGTCCACCTCGGCCGAGGCCGGCATGCGGACCACGAGCCGGCGCCGCACGTCCGCCGCCGCCTGCTCCAGCTCCTCGACCTCGCGCGCGATGCTGGCGCACGCCCAGGCCCACAGCGCGGCCGCCTTGGCCACTCTGTCCGCCTCCAGGCTGCAGGCGTGGGTGCCGTGGTGACCCTCCACCTCGAGGAGCTTCACGCTCCTCCTCGCGTTTGTCTAGCGGGCGAGGCACCGTAGGGATACGAACTTTGCAGCCGCCTGGGGGGGAGGCGTCCCCGACGGCGGAGCAGTGCATTATATACCGTTCTTCGCCCGCTATGCCGTCTCACTCCGCTGCAGCTGCCGTCGGCCCCCGAGCGCGCCACGCGCCGTGCGCGCTGCAGCCTTGCCCGCGCCCCTCCGCCGCCCCGAGCGCCTGCGCGAGGGTGCCCCGCGCGGTGGGTGCCCTGCCGCGCCCCCCTCCCCCCCGCGCGCGCCTCCGCCCATGGCCCCCGTCACCGGCAGCTCGCCTGGCGCGCGAGAGGTCGCGGGGTCCGCGCCGCGGCAGGCGGCCGTCTGCGCCCCCAGGGGTCGAGCGCGCCCGAGGCGGCGGCGGCGGGCCGCAGCTGCCCCTCCCTGCCAGGTCGGCCGCCCGGTGGCTGCGCCTCGAGCGCCTCGAGCGCTCGAGGGCGCCTCGAGGGCGCAGGCCCGAGGCGCTCGAGGGCGGCCTCGAGGGCGCAGCCTCGAGGCCGCCCGGTGGCGGCGCCTCGAGCGCCACTGGGTGGCCGCGCCTTTCGCGCCCTCGCGTCGAGGGGTGGGCGTGCCGCGGCGGCTGCAGCGGCTCGGGCACCTCGGCCCTGTGGCCCTGCAGGGGGAGGTCGCGCAGCCAGCGGCGAGCTCGCCGGGATGAGCTCTCGGGCTCGCCTGCGCGCTTCTCGACTGCACGTGAGTGAGAGTGACCCTTCGCCGGAGTGACCTTTGGTGCGGGCCCCTTGGGGCCCCCCGATCGCCGAACGCGATGGGATAGCAGCGGCCTGCGCGCTCGGGTTTGGCCCCCTCGCGCCCTCCCTGAAGCCGCGCACCAAAGGTCACTCCTGCCCAGGGTCACTCTCACGTGCAGCCGATGTTGGACGGGCCCGTCCCGGATGTCGGCGGTCCAGCTCTCGTGGAATGCTTGCCGCGGGAGCTCGCTTCAAGTTTCAGGCTGAGTCTCGCAGTTTTCCAGGCGGCCCCGTCAGGGTCAAGCCGAGTCCCCCGAACCCGAGTCTTACGTCTCCCCGATCCTGCAGGCGGCTGCATCTCTGGGCCTGTGCGTCTCCTGCGCAGCTCCTCCAGGTTACCAGAGAGGAGTCGAAGCAGAAAAGCTGGCACAACCTGAAACTATCGGAGCTCCGCGCGGATTTCTTGGATCGGCGATGGGCACCCCAGGCGCGCTCCGCGCGCCAGGGCGGTGATCCCAGATATCCGCACGGACGTCATCACATTTATGTTCGTGCCAGTTTTTTCTGCCCGTGAAGCAGTCCATGCACGACGATCGGGCCAAGATCTTCCCCCCGAGTTCTAGATTGGCACGGCCTTCGGGCCGATCGGGAGTAGCGTAGTATGAAGTCGGGCCTGTTCATCTACAGGGGGAATGTGCAGGACATGCCCGACTTAAGCGTGGTAGCGCGGCGGCTGTTCCTTCCCCTGTGGAGACCCCCCAGGCCGAAGAGGAGGGGCCTCCCTCGCGCGGCCGCTCCCCCTCGGGACCCTCCGGCTCCGTTCCGCCCGATGGCAGTGGCTGGGCACCGCAGGCACATGCGATACGAGGCCCTGCTATTCGAGACGCAGATCGTCCTCCTCCTCCTCCTCCTCCTCCTCCTCCTCCTCCTCCTCCTCCTCTTGCTACCTTGGGCAGAGACACATTTTCCGTCGATCGCAGGTCACCTCAAGGCGGCCCCAACACTCCGAGGGATCCCCCAGGGCCGAGCTTGGGGAACCGAAGAGGCCTTCCTTTCTACGTGGTGCACGTGCTGGCCGGCTGGCTCCTTGCCCAGTGTGCCTCCTGTAGTCCCCGTCGGTCCAGGCACCGCGCCACCAGCGTGCCCCCACCTCCAGCCAGTCGTGGAACTCGCTCGTGGTCGAGATCGCCGATGCCGCGCCGGACCCCTCCCCCACCTCCTCCACCTCCGCCTCCTCCTCCTCCTCCCTCCTCCGCCTCCTCCTCCGCCTCCTCCGCCTCCACTCCTCCTCCTCCTCCTGCTCTTCTCCTCCTCCTCCTCCTTCTCCTCCTCCTCCTCCTCCTCCTCCTCCTCCTTCTCCTCCTCCTCCTCCTCCTCCTCCTCCTCCTCCTCCTCCTCCCTTCTCCTCCTCCGCCTCCTCCTCCTCCTCCTGCCGCTCGGCCGCAGCCTGGAGGGCACACTGCCGCCCCGAGCCGCCTGGCCCCACAGCAAAGACCCGTCCGCACCCGGCCAGGGCGCGAGGCCCCCCCCGCACCGTGCTCCGCGGCCCGGCTGCCCCGGCTGGCAGCGCTCTCGCCCCGTGGATCCTCCGCCGCCACCGCGCGGGCGCCGGGAGCCAGGAAGCCGCGGTCTCCGCGTGCTCCAGCCGCGCCACCAGCTTCTACTTCTCCGCCCTGCGCCCTACAACACGTCTGGCGGCGCGACGGGGAGGCGTGATCTATGAGGAGAGGGAACGGACATGGACGAGGACGAGGACGAGAAGGAGGAGGAGGAGGAGGAGGAGGAAGAGGGGGAGGAGGATGAGGAGGAAGAGGAGGAGGAGGAGGAGGAGGAGGACCCGTGCAAAAACGAGACTCATCAACGATGTTGGAATACACCCTCTCTCCAAGCTCCCTCTTCACAGGCCTCTGCAAGGGTTCATTTCCACTGAGGGAATTGCCCTGGTAGGGGACAACCGTGTGAAAATCCTGGGGATTTCAACGCTACGAGTTAACCTGACTGTTGCGTCTTGGCGATCCCGAATAGTGCCAGGACGCTATTCCTGGGACTTCGACACCGCGAATCAACATAACTGCTGCGTCCTGACAATTCTGAGTCGTTCCCAACACAGTTTCTGGTACGTTAACCATGAGAATCAGAAAAGCTGTCTGCCTGCAAATGTCTAAAACGAATGTGCACGGCGTTAATGCGAGAGCCACATGTGGCAAAGGAACTGGCCTCAATCCGTGAAGCTCTTGTAAAACATTAAAGCGAATGTGCGCGGCGCTAAGGCGAGAGCCACACGTAGCCGCCCTCAACCCGTGAAGTAAATGTTTAAAACGAATGCGTGCGGCGCTAAGGCGAGAGACACACATTGGAAAGGAACCACCCTCAATCCGTGAAGCTCGTGCACTATTGTACGAGGAATGTGTGCGGCTCTAAGGTGAGAGCCACATTTCGAAAACGACCCGCCTTCCATTTGTAATTTTGCTGTCAGTCTTTACGCTTTAGGCTCATAAGATGGTAAGGAAGTCTCCTGCGAAACGCCTGTCCCGCTCTTCCGACTGGCCTCGGGGTGCGGCAGGGAGGAGTTATTCATAAAGAGTGGAATGGAGGAGGAGGAGGAGGAGGAGGAGGAGAAGGAGGAGGAGGAGGAGGAGCAGGTAGGGCGCCCGCGCCATTGGCGGCCCCGATCGGGCCAGTCGATTCGGATCAGGGCTCGAGCTGCGGATCGGCCTGGACCGAGAGGAGCCGTCGTCGGCGTCGTGGTGGTGGTGGTGGTCGTCGTCGTCGTCGCCAGCGGCGCCCGAGGCCCCAGCAGGCGCGGCAGGCGCCTCGGAGAGCCGCGCCGCCTGGCCCCGCTGGCGGGGCCTGCCCATCCGTCCTTCTCCAGGCCCTCCTCGTCCCTCAATCTCCTCCCGACCTCCTCAGCCTCCTCCCACCTCCTCCTCTCCGTCCTGAGGTTGCAGGCCGCCTCCCTGTCGGTCCAACTTCTCTAGATTCCAAGGCCCGCCCCGTGTGGGGTGTCCCCGCGGTTCGGCGGGACACCGATCCACCGCTTTTGGGAGTTTTCCTCTTCAGAAGTGTGGGCCCCCCAATGTGGAGATCTCAGGCTAAACAGTCCTGGCCCAGAGCAGCAGTGGTGTAGCGAACCCGAAGTTGAGCTCGAATGGGAAGGAACGGAACGGAACTCCTCCTCCTCCTCCTCCTCCCTCCTCCTCCTCCTCCTCCTCCTCCTCCTCCTCCTCCTCCTCCTCCTCCATCGTCCTCCTCAACCCACCTCCTCCTCCTCCTCCTCCTCTCCTTTCATTCTCCCTCCTCCTCCCTTCTCCTCCTTGTCAGCCTCATCCCTCCTCCGTCTCCTCCTCCTCCTCCTCCTCCTCCTCCTGCGCCTCCCTCCTTCCTCCTCCCTCCTCCCTCCTCCCTCCTCCCTCCTCTTCCCTCTCCCTCCTCGTCTTTCCCTTGGTGCTGACGATGTAGGCACAGGCGTCGTTGGCACGACGCTGCCTTGCGCCCCCTGGCGGCCTTCGCCGCTGGGAGGGCCTTCGCAGCTCGGGGGGACGGAGAACGACTGTTATTTCGTGGCCCTCCTCCTCTTCCCGTTTTGGACGCCCCAACGGCGAACGGCGCGCGGTTGCGTCTCTCCTCCATCTTCTCCTCCTCCCTCCTCCTCATCCTCCTTCTCCTCCTCCTCCTCCTCCTCGTCGCCGTCCTTTTCCACAGCCTCATCCTCGTCCTCCTCCTTCTCCTCCTCGTTCTCCTCCGCCTTCTCCTTGTCCTCCTCCTTCTCCTCCTCCTCCTCCTCCTCCTCCTCCTCCTCCTCCTAGTCCTCCTCGTCCTCCTCGTCCATCCTCTCGCGTCCTCGCCCTCCTCCTCCTGGCTCTTCATCCTCCGCCTCCTCCACGTCCTCCTCGTCCTTCCTCATCATCCTCCTTCGTGCCCTCGTCCTGCTTCTCCTTGCCCTCCTCCTCATCCTCCTCGTCGTTCCTCCTCGTCCCCCTCTCTCGCTTGCGCCGTCCCGCACTTGGCCAGGCTAGTTTCCCCGAGCTGGGCGCCCCGTCGCAGCCGCTCCAGGCGCCGCACCATGCGACGAGCAGGAGCGAAGGTTTGGAAATAAGCACGGCGATGATGGCATGATGGTGACGAGGAGGACGAACTCAGGGCTAAGAGCCTCTGTTTCGCTCGCCCCCTCACCATGGCAGAGACCTTGACCCTCGTCCCAGCTACGCGGCACCAACTGCGCCGCTAGGTCTTCCTCGAGACCCAGGCCAGCGGCAGGTGGTGGTGGTGGTGGTGGTGGTGGTGGTGGTGGTGGTGGTTGTGGTGGTGGTGGTGGTGGTGGTGGTGGTGGCGGTGGTGGTGGTGGTGGTGGTGGTGGTGGTGGTGGATGGGGGGTGGATGGGGGAGGGTGGGGGTGGATGGGGGTGGCATTGGAGCAGATGCCTGGAAGTAAGCGGCCAGAGGATGTGCCCCCAGGAGACCATAGAAGCGCCCCAGGACAGGCAGGATGGAGGGTGGAGGGAGGGGCGAGCGATACACTACACACATGTTTACGTACACATCGATCTATGTATACATTATATATATAAATATATACATACGTATATGCGTACATGAATGTAGATGATTGTGTACATGCATGTATTAAATGTATGATGAAGTGAGTCTTCGAACGGGTAAACATCTATAGAATATGATCCTGACTAGGAGCTTGCAGCATCACGTGCGTCTCTGCAGCCTTCTCGGGTCAGCCCTGCCGCGATGACGGCCTGGGCCACGTGGAGGGTGGCCACCCAGGGTAAGGATTGATGTGCGGGCGGTTGCGATGACGACGCCTCCGCCCGAGGCGGCGTCCGTGGCGACCGCTAGGGGCGAGGGCCTCCTCCTCCACTGATTGGCCCCCCTCGCTGTGGTGGCCCTCCTTCCCTTGGGGTTCTTGTGCATCCACTGAGTCTTGGTGTGGTTTTCCCGCAGGCCGAGGACGGCCGACCAGGTCGTCCAGGCGTCCCCCACCGCGAGCATCGTCGCAAGGTCATTCTGCTCCCAGGTCCTGTCGTCCACGTACAGGTGGAGCTCGACTCTGGGATACCTCCCCCTGATGTCCCGTACCGGCGCCGTCAGCACGGCGCAGAGTGCCATCGGTGACCATGGATCTGTCTGGGGGAGGGAAGTGGTCACGTGCTGCTCCTCCCTCAAGGTGCTGCTGCCCAGCTGCAGGTACCTCGTCTGGTCCACCCACGCCTCGCCCAGCATGTGGGCCAGGTGGGACGGCATGCCTAATTAGCCGCGTCATCGCGTGCTGCGCTGCTCGCGGGTGCGTGGTGTCGAAGGCGAGGGAGTAGTCCATGCTCGTCACGTAGTATCCCAGGCTCGCGGCCACGGCGCACGCCGAGGCTGCCTGGTAGGCCTCGCAGCCCCTGCGGGCGCCATTGAGTCGTCCATCCACTGCTCCTGCCACTCCTGGCAGTCCTTGGAGCGGACGCGCGCAGACGCCCACGCGCGATACCAGGCACTCCCAATCGCGATCGGTCACAGATCCGCGACGTGGAGGCTGCCGTCGTCGTCGGCCGCCTTCTTGGGCAGGTGCACCTGCCGCAAGCGGCGCCAGCATGCCGGGAGGCAGGCTGCCCTCTCAGACTCCCGCAGGACGTGGGTGAGGGCGCTGCTGCAGAACTCCGCGTCGAGGTGCTCGTCGCCCGTCCAGCCGTCGGGCCCTGCCGAGGCGCCCGCCTGTCGCCGGAGCGCCTCGCGGACGTCATGTTCTTCCAGGTCGTAGCAGCGCTGCTCGGGCACCTGCGGGAGCTGCCGGTCCAGCTCGCTGCGCCACTGCTCCGCCGAGGGGAGCTCCCTTCGCCAGACCTTGTGCCACCGCCTGGCGAGGAGCTGCAGGCCCCAGTAGGTGTCCGAGGCGTGCTCGTCGTCATCCTTGATGGTGGCGTCCTGCGGCGGCGTCCCTCTGAGCCACTTGTAGGTGGCCTTCTGGCTGCCCAGGAGCTTGGCCTTCCAGCTGGCCAGTCTCTCTTCCTGCCTCGCAGCCTGGAGGTCGCCCAGCCTCTTCTCCAGCGCGTCGGCAGCGCGCTCGAGGGCCTGGATCCGCGCCAGCGTGACAGAGGCATTGAGCCCACCACCATCAAGGACCACGCCAAGCTCCTCGGGGTAAAGATCACAGGAGGGAAGCGCCGGCCCCTGGCCGGCTTCGAGATCAGGCGCATCAGCGAGGCGGACGCGATGATCGTCAAGGCCAGGTCCCTGCCCCACAGGAGCTACGAGCGAGGCCGCATCCTCGCCACCGGGCCCCTCTCCAAGGCAACCTGCGGGTGGCTGGAGCAGCCCATGCCCGCCAGAAAGGCCAGCGGGCTCCGGAGCGCGGTGGACCGCACCACCAAGCCTCCCAGGCAGAGCGCGCCGCCTCTGAGGCGCCTGGTGCGGGGGCACCGGCTTGACCCCCAGCATCGGGCCGTCCAGGACGCAGTGATGGCGCTGGCGCGAGTGGCCAGCAAGGAACGGAGCGACGCCAGCAACTTCCCCGCCGAGGCGCCCTGGGACACGGCGAGGGGCTTCGCGGGCGACGTGCACAAGCTCCTGGCCGGCTCGGGCTGGCAGCCGGCCCAAGAACCCTGGACCTGGGTCCACAGGCACAACCACGACCTCCGCTTCACCCTCGACAAGCGGAACGGCAGCTGGACGGGGCCCAAGTCGGTCGGCCACACCCTCTGGGAGGGCTGGCGGCACCACAACTTCGGCCTGTTCGTGAACGGCAAGAGGCGGGACGCCGCCTACGCCACGGCCTCCTACGACGGCCAGCGGGTGAAGGGCATCCAGCGCTTCTGCAAGGAGCCGCTTGGGAAAGCGATGCGGATCCTGACGGGATCGACGGTGTCGCCCATGATGCGCGCCGTGGCCGCCGGAGACCCCAGCCAGGGGGTCTGCCCGTGGTGCCGGCGCGTACCAGGAACGCTTGATCACTTCGCCTGGCAGTGCGATGCGCCAGACCTGGCGGCGCTGCGGCCCCGGGCCCAGCCCCAGGACGCGCTGCAGAGGAGACTCTTTTGGCCAATTGGTACACGCCGCTTGAAGACCGAGGACGCCCTCATCTTCAGGTGGGGCGCCGCGCTAGACGACCTGATCCTCCAGCAGAGGTATGACCACGACGATGTCGTGCACTAGTTGGTTTAGTGGCCGCGGAGGAGGGGGAGGAGGTGGAGGAGCCGACTTCCCAGCCGAATTTCTTGGCGACCCCCGGCGCGTTCAACCAGACGGACACGCCGAAGACAAATTCTTTGCCTGCGCTGTGGTGGTGTTCGGGCGCCTCATCGCGGTGACAGCGGCGCAGGCCGACACTGGGCGAGGCACCATCGTGAGGCTCGGCGTGGGGGGCGGCCTGGCGCGGGGGGGCTTGCAGTGGCTGCTGGTCCGCCGCGCGCGCGCCTGGTGATGCGAACTCTTCGGCAAGGCAGACGAGATGGAAGAGCTGCGTGCCCAGCTGGCCGCCCTCACGGTGCGTGACGACGGTGCGTGACGCGTGAAGACGGTGCTCCCTCCCCCACCCCACCGTCAGCTCGTCTGCCAGGATTCGCCGCGCCTTGGGGAGACGGGGGAGACGGAGGTGGAGCACCAGTGGCGCCGGATCCCGGCATGAGTGCCTGCCACGCGTTCGATTTTGGCGGCACGGTTCCAAGCCCTACTGCATGGACGGCGGCAGCGCTAGCGCAGCCCAGCGGCGCGGCAGCAGCAACTTGTCAGCCCCAGCGGCTGCAGACGGTCAGGTGCCAGGTGGACCATGGCTGCAAGCCGCCGCCACAGCGTCGACATGGGCAACCGAGGTGCGTGAGCTCCTCACGCATGCTAGTGGGCAAGCTTCCTGCCATGGAGGTGCTTTCGGAGCTGCCGCACCTGCTGGAGGGGCCGACGTAGGCGCCTTGGCCCACTCGCTGCCCACGGACTTCAAGCGTGCAGGAGCAGGGAGCACGAGTGTACGCCATTGGTTGCAGATGTAGTTCACGGTGTCGGGAGATCGAGGCGGAGACTAGTGGCAAAGTCTGTAGAATACTGCATCATCGTTGGACTTCGAGCTCGACAAGTGTGGATCGGAACAGGAGTTGATTGCCATGCTCAGCAAGAGTGGCAATCTGGAGCTAGGCTTGGTGCACTTGACGGCGTATGTGTACGAACCAAGGATTCATGACAAAGTAGAGGAGCTGCGAGGACTATGGCGGTTGCAGTGCCCGGGAGTGTTCTGGACATCGCCTCGAACTGGCTTTTAACTCACGCGACCAGCCACAGCACGATGGAACACCAGAGGGCAGAACGAGCGGCATCTGAACTTCGCCGGCGTGAAACAGAGGTGACCAGAAAAGGCGACGGCAAGGGCGGAGGTCGAGGTGGAGGCAAAACTAAAAAAGGATCGGGGGGAGGCGCGGGAGAGCTCCTCTCAGATGCCCCTCGCGGATGGCCGAATGCGGATGCAGTGCCATACTTCCCCTCTCCTTCCTCGTTTTCCTTCCAACTGATTCCCTCGCCGTGGCGTTCCAGGAATTCGGGGCACGTTCCTGCCAGTTGACGCGCACTCTGCTGCGGCTCCTTGGTGGTTGCTGTTGTGTGCTGCCAGGTTATATGAACGATCGGTCCGATCATACTTGGGATGCGCGAGCAAACCTTTAGGGGAAAAACGCGGAGGGACGAGGAGAAAGGAGGAGGGAGGGGCGGAGGGCGAGGAGGGGAAGAGCGCGCAGGGACGAGGAGAAGAGGCAGGAGGAGGGGCGGAGGGCGAGGAGGGGAAGAGGGCGGAAGGACGAGGAGAGGAGGGAGGAGGGACGGGCGGAGGGGCGAGAATGGCAGGGAGGGCAAGAAGGGCAGGGAGGGAAAGGGCGGGCCCCTCCCTGGCCCCCTTCCGCAGGAGCAGGAGCCAGAACCGCAGCCGGGACCGGGAGCACGCGAGGTCGAAGTCGCCGACGCCGCCGAGCACCGCGCTGCTGACGATCACGGGCGGCGGTGGCGGCTGGCAGGTCGCTCGTCGTCGCCGGCCTCCGCCGCTGCCGCGGCCGCTCATCAGCGGCGAACGTATCCGTATCCTCGCCGTCGCTGCCTGGATTCCCGAGCGCGATCCCGCGGATATGCGGTCGCACGAATGCGTTCCGCGCGGGGCATCCGCGAAGAAGCGCGTCGTATCCGCTGGGTCGCAGCTTGGGGGCCTGGCCCGCGAGGCCGCGGGTTCGGATATGCTTTTCGCCCACGAGTCGGGGGGGCGGGGGGGGGGGGGGGGCAGTTTTTCTCTTTTCGGAGGAGGGCGAGTTGAGGCACCGGTCGCTGGCCTATGGGGCGTAGGCCGTCGCCGCCACGGCTGGACGCAGCTCGGAAAGCGGGTGCGTGAAACCAGTCGCCCAGGCCCATAGCCGCAAAATTCAAGAGCCTTTGCGCTCTCGGCCTCTTGAGGCCCTAACGCCACCGGACACATTCTTGTTGCGGAAAAGCACCAAATCGGACTCCACTTGGTTAACTCTCAGGGGAGAGCAGACATCTGACCTCGGGCATGTGCCTGTCTGCAGCCTCCCACCTCATGTTGTGGGTGGGGGAGCGTCATTCGGAAGCCAGCAACTTCCCTTCGAGGTAAGAGCGGATGCATCCATTTTGGCAGGTGTAGGGGAAGCGAGAGCTCATTTGGGGTGCCCAAAGTAAGGCCCGAAAACCACTAGGCGTCGCCGTCGTCTTCGTCGTCGTCGTCGCTCAACCTACCCTTGCTCCTCGTCGTCGTCGTCGCGATCTCTTTGTTGCCGTCTCCGCAGTCGTCGGTGGCGGCGTCGTCGTCCACCTCGTCGCCCCCCTCCCTGCTCGTGCTCCTCCTGGGCCATCTCTGCGATTGAGGAGGGATTTCCTCTTCCCCTTTCTTCTTCTCCTCCTCCCCTCCATCCTCCTCCTCGTCCCATGCTCCTCATCCATCATGGCCCCCTCCTCCTTCTCCGTATACTCCCCAGCCTGCTTCTCATCCTTCCTTTCCTACTCCGAGTCGCAGTCATCTATTCCTATACGTTCCTGGCTGTGCCTGTGTGGTAAGAGATTCGAGCTCTCTTCATCCTGCCTCTTTTACCATGTCGTCGTCGCCCTCCTCCTCATTTTCGTCCTGCGTGTCATCTCCCTTGTGTTTCTCCTCGTACCCTTCCCCCTCCTCCTCCGCATCATCATCATCTTCCTCCTCCTCCTCATCATCCTACTTCCCCCTCCCGCTCCTCTCCCTCCCCCTCCTCCAGCAGGCTTCGCTGCAGTCGTGTACAGCACGGTCAGACATCGCAACGCTCCGAACCATCGGAATACCGTTATCGCAAACGTGCTGCCTTGTCTGCACGATGCCTGTGCCGTGCAAGATGTCCAGTTGGCCTTTGCACATCACACCAAACCGCCTCGGGCCAACATCGGTTTGATGACGAGGCTGGGTTCAGGGCACGGCAGGGTGCGCGAGACCACCTGTCCGCCTTCGACACCTCGCAGAAGCTGGCTGCCGAGTGGAATCACTGTTCCATCGGCCGCCGCCAACGAGGCCCCCCCCCAATATGTGGCGCGCTCCAGAAGAAGAAAGGGCCTCGACTTCGGCGTGTGTCTCGCTCTCGGCGGAAGCCGGCGGAAGTAGAACGGCTAGGGGCCCCACCGGCGGATGCCTGGCAGAAGGCGGCGGAAGTCAGTGTGAGACGTCAACATGTTCGGCTCCAGGGCCTGCGGAGCTGGACATTTGGCCACGGTGGGGCGCAGGAGCTCGTGGACCGCGCTGCGACGGCAGCGCGCGCCCCAGGGGTGCGCCCACCTGCCCCGACGCCCACAGCCAGACGGACAGTCGATCGCAACCACCCCTCCCGGCAGAGCCTCTCGAGCTCCGCCGCGCCTTCGGTGCACTCCCAGGAAGGGCGCCGCCCTGGGGGGAGGAGGGGGAGGAGGAGGAGGAGGAGGAGGAGGAGGAGGAGGAGGAGGAGGAGGAGGAGGAGGAGGGAGGAGGAGGAGGATCACTGACCAAACTGCCAGGTCAGCGAGCGGGCCGCCATTGAACAGTCCCGCCAGGGCTGACCGCTTCCCGGTGCCCGGGCGCTCCTCCTCTCTCCTCCTCCTCCTCCTCCTCCTCCTCCTCCTCCTCCTCCCTCCTCCTCCTCCTCCTCCTCCTTCTCCTCCTCCTCCTCCTTCTCCTCCTCCTCCTCCTCCTCCTCCGCCCGCCTCCTCCTCCTCTCCTCCCTCCTCCTCCTCTCCTCCTCCTCCTCCTCCTCCTCATCTCTCCTCCCTCCGCCTTATCCTCCTCCTCCTCCTCCTCCTCCTCCCTCCTCCTCCTCCTCCTCCTCCTCCTCCTCTCCTCTCCTCTCTCCTCTTCCGCCTTATCCTCCTCCTCCTCCTCCTCTTCTCCTCCTCCTCCTCCTCTCCTCTCATCCTCCTCCTCCTCCTCCTCTCCTCCTCTTCCGCCTTATCCTCCTCCTCCTCCTCCTCCTCCTCCTCCTCCTCCTCCTCCTCCGCCTCCTCCTCCTCCTCGTCCGAAGCCTTTCCTGTCCTCTCGCTCCGCGGATCGGGGAGCAACACGCTATCAGCTTGCAGGCCATGGGGTGTCGCCGGGCCTCCGCGGCGACGCGCTAAGCACGAGATCCCGAGCGTAGCACCGCTCGGCCCAAACTGGCAGCACGACGGACGAGGCGTCCCACCAGCGCATGCCGACGCCGTCGTCCCAACCAACCTCCGCCTCGCCGTCGACGTCCTGCTGGCCAACCAGGCCCTACACAGCTTGCAAGCGCTGTTGGCAGACACATTGTCATCCGCCTCTCTCCGTGGTCTCGGGGCACATCCGACCGAAGCCCAAGTCAGGACCCACCAAGTCTGGACCCGCATGCGCGCGGCCGAGGTCGCAAATATGGGCGTTCCCCACTTGGCACGCTCCAGAGAATCGGCGGCGAGCCTGGGGGGGGGGGAAGTGAGGAGGGGCGGGCCTTCTCAGAAGTCTTGGAAGTCGCCCAGCCTTCTGAGAAGTTTTCTAAGCCTTCCCCGAATGAAGAAAAAAAAAAACCTCTCAGAAGTCGCGAGGGCTTCTGGGAAATCCCGCCGCCTTCTGAGAAGGCCTTCTCCTTCTCACTTCCCCCCCTCGCTCGCCGCCGAGAAGTACATCCGACCGAAACCCAAATCAGGATCCACCAAGTCTGGACCCGTATGCGCGCGGCCGATGTCGCAAATCTGGGCGTTTCTCATTTGGCGCGCTCCAGAGAAGGGCATCGCCTTCGGCACGCCTCGCCCTGGGCGGAAGCCCGCGGGAGGTGGCGGAAGTAGCACGCCAGCGGGCTCGCCGGCGGGAGCAAAAGCGAGACGCTGACATTGTTTGATCCAGGGTTTCTGGAGTCGGTCCTTTCTCAGGCGATCGCAAACATGGATCAAGGGGGCGTGGATTAGCGACGGGCCCCGTTCCCATGCGCAGTCACGGATTCCCGCCGCCGAGCGAGGCGGCACCGGCCGCACTTTGGTGAGGGTACCTCCCCGGACCCATGGATTTGGCGACCGCGCGTCAAATCTATGGACCGCTAATCTATTTTTGCGCGCCCCCGACTGAAGTCCGAGGATCGAATCGGATCGGATCTCGACAGGAGGAAGCGTCAGGCCCCGCAGCGCCGTCTGGCCCCCCCCTCCAGACCGAGGATCGGATCGGATCGGATCGACTCGACTCTGCGCGCCTCCGACTTTGGCAGGATGACGCGCCTCGCCCTTGGCGGAAGCCGGCGGCAGGCGGCGGAAGCAGCACAAGGCGGCGGGCTCGTCGGCGGAAGGCGGCGGGCGCAAAAGCGAGACGCCGGCAGTGTTTGATCCAGGGCTTTTGGAGTCGGCCCTTGGGGAGGAGGAGGAGGAGGAGGAGGAGGAGGAGGAGGAGGAGGAGGAGAGGAGAGAGGAGGAGGAGGAGGAGGAGGAGGAGGATGAGGAGGAGGAGGAGAGAGGGAGGAGGAGGAGGAGGGAGGAGGAGGAGATGAGGGAGGAGGAGGAGGAGGAGGGGAGGAGGAGGAGAAGGAGAAGGAGGGGGAGGAGGGAGGACTCGAGGAAGGAGAAACCACCCGGACCCGCTGGCGTTTTTTCGAGGCGACCCCGGGCGTTTACCAAACAGCCCTGCGCCCTGTCCGAGTCCCTCTTCGGGCGCGTTTGGGACACGACTGCGCGTGTCGGGGTGGTTCTTCTGGGGGTGGATTTTTTGACCTCGCATTGCGTGCCTCGGCCCAGCGATCGCCCTCCGCGAGGCTCCCACGGCCGAGGGGATCCGCCGCGCCCGAGCGGCGCAGGCCTGCCTCGCACGGGGCCGCAGGCACCGAGGCTGCCGGGCAGGCGCTGCCCGCCCAGCCGCCGGCCGCGACTCCGCCGCGGCACCCGGCGCACCCGCCGTGATCCGCGGCGCAGCAGCATCGGCCAAGACTCAAGTCGGGCAGGTCCCTCCACAGGGGGGGAGCATCAAACATGTCAATTACCCTGTGACGTACCCAACCCATTTGTATCAATGGAAACGAGGAGTTGGCCGAAACTTGTATGGACAATCAACTTGATGTGTAAGCTACTTGGGAGGCGTCACTGTGCTGGGCCCCGCAAGCAGGCCTCGAAAGTGGCGACAGTTTCACAGATCGCAGCCCCCCAGGGATGGCGAGATCTAATTTGAATCTGCCGTGTGTACCCACTGTGCTGGGCCCCCCAGCAGGCCTCCAAAGTGGCGACAGTTTCACAGATCGCAGCCCCCCAGGGATGGCGAGGTCCCATTTGAGTCCGCCGTGGGTACCCACTGTGCTGGGCCCCCCAGCAGGCCTCGAAAGTGGCGACAGCTTCGTAGATCGCAGCCCCCCAGGGATGGCGAGGTCAAATTTGAGTCCGCCGTGTGTACCCATTGTGCTGGGCCCCCCAGCAGGCCTCCAAAGTGGCGACAGTTTCACAGATCGCAGCCCCCCAGGGATGGCGAGGTCCCATTTGAGTCCGCCGTGTGTACCCTCTGTGCTGGGCCCCCCAGCAGCCCTCGAAAGTGGCGACAGTTTCGCATATCGCAGCCCCCCAGCTGGCACGCAGCGACGAGCGAGGCAAAAGGCAAGGGGGAAGAGATGGGGGGGGGGATAGAGGCAAGGAGACGCGCGAGCAGTGCTCTATTCAAAACGAGAACCCAACGCAGGAGGGTTGGGAAAAAATAGCCTGCATGGGGACTAGATTTAAGTCGCGCAGGTCCCTCTACAGGGGGGAAGCTTCAAGCATAGTCAACAAAAAATAGTCCGAGGACTATTTGTTTACCATCATCCTTGGCTCTTTTGGAACAGTTGTTGGCTACTTTGGGCCAGTTTGGAATCTTTCTTGACTGTGGGAGGACATGCCCGACCTAAGCCAAGACCAGCCTCGCAGGCAGCCGCTCCGCCGCGCGCAGGCGCACGGCCCCAGGAGGGCCATTGGCACGCCGCGGCGGCGCGCGGGTGCCGCTTCCTCGGGCGCGCTCCGCCCCAGCAGCGCGGGCCACCTAGGCGACCACGACGCCGCCCGCAGCTTGCCCGATAGCAGCGGGGACCACGCCGTGCCCCGCAGTCCGACGGTTCCTCCTCCTCCTCCTCCTCCTCCTCCTCCTCCCTCCTCCTCCTCCGCCTCCTCCGCCTCCGCCTCCGCCTCCTCCTCCTCCTCCTCCGCCTCCTCCTCCCCTTCGTCCTCCATCTCTCTCCTCCTCCTCCCTCCTCCTCCTCCTCCTCCTCTCCTCCTCCTCCTTCTCCTCCGCCTCCTCCTCCTCCTCCTCACTCCTCCTCCTCCTCTCCATCTCCTCCTCCTCCCTCCTCCTCCTCCTCCTCCTCCTCCTCCTCCTCCCCTCCTCCTCCTCCTTCTCCTCCTCCCTCCTCCTCCTCCTCCTCCCTCTCTCCTCCTCCTCCTCCTCCTCCTCCTCCTCCTCCTCCTCCTCCTCCTCCTCCTCCTCCTCCTCTCTCCTCCTTCCTCCTCTCCCCCGGTCCGGCACACCCGCGAGGGGCGACGTCCGCCTCTGACCAGTCGACGGCGTCGTACCCGCTGTGATTTGTGGTGCAGAGGCGCGGGCCGAGAGCAGGGCCTCGCAGGCAGCCGCTCCGCCGCGCGCAGCGGATCGCGGTCCCAGAGGGCTATGGGTCTGCACGATGCGGCGGCGCACAGCTGCAAGTTCCAACGGCGCGCTCCGCCTTACAGTGGGGGCCCATGCCAAGGAACACCCTTCTTGCCTCCAGGGTGCCCTGGGTTTCTTGGGTTTCGATGGTTTTGCGATGGGAAGCGCGACGTTCCCACAGCAAAAAACAGTGGACGTCCTGGGGTCTCAGGGCAGGTCTTCTTGTGGAAGGCTTCTTGTGAACTGGCCTCCTCTGCACAGCAGGCGCGTCGAAGCAGAAATTTGCCTGTCCGCAGGTGCCCCGCGGAAGCCTGTGTGTGTGTGTATGCGCTATCCTCCGAGGGCCCCGGGGGCCCACGAAAGCCTTGGGGCGCGCCGGGAAGCTGCAAGCTCGACGACAGACGTGCCCCCAGATGTGTCTTGTGGCTAGCTTCGCCATGGCAGGTGTCCGCACCAGCAACGGACCACCAGAGCGACCACGACTCCGCCCGCAGCCCCTCCGATACAGTGGAGGCCAGTCCACAAGAAGCCTTCCACAAGAAGACCAACCCTGAGACCCCAGGACGTCCACCTGGTTTTTGCTGTGGGAAAGTCGCGATTCCCATCGCAAAACCATCGAAACCCAAGAAACCCAGGGCACCCTGGAGGCAAGAAGGGTGTTCCTTGGACTCCGTGCCCCGCAGTCCGGCATACGGCGGGGGCAGCAGCGGCGGACGGCGACCATTTTTGACCAATCGGTTGGCGTCGGGCGACACGGAGCCGCGACCTGGCATCGCGCACAGGAGCACTCCTTGCATGGCGCCCATGGGCCCGACAAAGGCGCCGATCCCATCCGATCGCTCCTCTTCTCTGCCTCTTCGTCGTCGTCGTCCTCCTCCTCCTCCTCCTCCACCTCCTCCTCTTCCTCCTCCTCCTCCTCCTCTGTTTACTCGTTCCCCCTCCTCTTCATCTTCCTTCACTGGGTACGCTCCTCCTCCTCCTCCTCCTCCTTCTCCTCCACAGTGCTCCTCTTGTTGGAGTTGGAGATGTAGGGGGAAGTAGGGGCAAGTTGCAAAACGTAGGGAGGAGGAGGAGGAGGAGGAGGAGGAGGAGGAGGAGGAGGAGGAGGAGGAGGAGGAGGAGGAGATGGAGGCGAAGGGGAGGAGGAGGCGAGGAGAGGAGGAGGAGGAGGAAGGGGAGGAGGAGGAGGAAGGGGAGGAGGATGCGAAGGAAGAAGAAGAGGAGGAGGCGGAGGAGGAGGAGGAGGAGGAGGAGGAGGAGGAGGGGGAGGACGACGACGACGACGAGGAGTAGGAGTAGGGAGGAGATGAGGTCCCTTGCTTCCCCTCGGGCTTGCGCCCCTCCTCCCCCACCGCGGGGGGGCTATGAGGCAGCGGCCCGTGCAGTCATGTGATGTGCTGGTTTCCCGCGTGGCTGGGACTATCGGCCAGCACGCCAAACCCTTGTGGCCATTCGCCCCAAGGAGGGACGGATGCCAGGGTGGCGGATTCAGCAGGCGGAGGAGGAGGAGGAGGAGGAGGAGGTGCAACAGGAGGTCCTTCTGCTTCTGGAAGCGGAAGAGGGGGACAAGCACGGGGACTACCGTAGCCCCCGCAGATGCGGGTGGACAAGCAAGAGGACTACCTTAGCCCCCGCAGTTGCGGGTAAGAGCGAGGGCGCGGGGGGGGGGGGAAGGTGCGGGGCACGGGCGCGGGACCCCCCCTCGCAGAGGCAGCGCTTCTCGCTCGCTCGTGCCCTCGCCGCCGCCCTCCTCGCCGCCCCTTTGCCGCCCTCGCCGCCGCCCCTTCGCCGCCGCCCTTGCCGCCGCTCCGTCTGCCCCAGGGGCGCGGCGCTGCCGCCCTCGTCGCCCTCGCCGCCCTCGCCGCCGCACTCGCCGCCGCCGCCCTCGCCGGTCCCTCGTTGCCACCCCTCGCCGCCGCTGCGCCCGCCGCGGCCCCCGAGGGCGCGGCGCTGCCGCGGCGCCCGTCCCCCCACGGCAGCCCCCGCCGGGGCGCCGCCGCCGCCCGCGAGGCGTCGTCGCCCTCGGCGGCCGCGCCTCCGCCGCAGCCGCCGCCGCCCGTCGCAGTCATCGTCCGTCGTCGGTCCCGCGTCCTTCGTTCGGCGGCGAGCAGCCATAACCGGCGGCGAGGCTCGAACCTCGCGTGTTCTGCTGGGTCTTCGGCCTCGGGGGGCCGTGTTCGGGCCCCCGGACCCCGCGACTCGATCCGATGTGAAAAACCGCGTCGGATGGACGCCAGGAGGGGTCCGGGGACCGATTTTGACCGATATTCGGCGGCGCGCCCGGGGGGGGGGAAGTGAGAAGAGAAGGCCTTCTCAGAAGGCGGCGGGGCTTCTCAGAAGGCTGTGTGCTTCGGGAAGGCTTAGAAAACTTCTCAGAAGGCTGAGGGACTTCCGAGCATCTTTTTGTTCTTACCCTGGCGACCGCAGCATCGATCCCGCATCTCCGAGTGCCAGCCTGCAAACCAGGACGGGGTGACACCCAGCCATTGCAAAGCCGGAGCGCACGGCTGAGCAGAGTATAGAGGAGGAGAAGGAGGAGGAGGAGGATGCGAAGGAGGAGGAGGAGGAGGAGGAGGAGGAGGGTGAGGATAAGAAGGAGGAGGAGCGAGGGAGGGGAGGGGAGGAGAGGAAGGGGACGGGAGGAGGAGGAGGATGAAGCAGGAGAGAGAATAGGAGGAGGAAGGAGAGGGAGGCGAGGAGGAGGAGATGAGGAAGAGAGAGGAGTGGAAGGAGGGGGAGGGAGGAGGAGGAGGAGGAGGGATTACACGACCTCGAGATCAACAATCGGTGGTGTAGGTTCGAGCTGCACCTCGGGGAGGCGCGCCCCTTCGCACTCCCCCCCCCGGGCCGGCCGCCGACTCGTCGTGCTCGCCCCTCCCGCCGTCACGGCCGGCGCAGCCGCCGCGGCCGCCTCGGCCGTGGGGCTTTCGTCGTTGTCGTGCTCCGTCGTTGTCCGTCCTCCTCCGTCTTGATCGCTGCCGTCGTTTTCGTCGTCGTCGTCGTCGTCGTCGTCGTCGTCGTCGACCGTCGCCGTCGTCGCCGTCGTCGCCGTCGCCGTCGCCGTCGCCGTCGCCGTCGCTGCCGTCGTCGCCGTCGTCGCTGCCGTCGTCGTCGCCGTCGTCGTCTTCGTCGCCGTCGCCGTCGCCGTCGCCGTCGCCGTCGCCGTCGTCGTCGTCGTTCGAGGTGCGAGGCCTCTGGACGTCTGCCGCCCTCCGTCGGGCCATCCCGGAGGCCTCCTCGTCGCCACGGCAGGGCTCCCCTCGCAGTTGTGGCCGAAACGCCCCCGTCGTTGTACGTCGTCGTCGTCGTCGTCGTTGTCGTCGTCGTCGTCGTTTTCGTCGTCGTCGTCGTTGTCGACGTCGTCGTCGCCGTCGTCGTCGTCGTCGCACGCCGCACGTCGTACGTCGTACGTACGTCGTCGTAGTCGTCCTTCTTCCTTCTTACATAGTCGTCCTTCGTCGTCGTCATCCTTCGTCATCCTCCCTCGTCGTCGTCGTCGTCGTCTTTCGTGTCTATCGTCGTCGTCTGTCGTCTCTGTCGTCGTCTCCTTTCGTGTCTGTCGTCGTCGTCTTTCGTCGTCGTCGTCCTCGGCTTCTTCAGGGGGCCGCAGGGAACCCGACTCGCAAAGCGAAGCGAGGATTCTTGTGATGCTTTCACGATCCTATTTTTTTTTTGCAGGCGATTGTCGCACGGATCGCGGAAATGCCTCGTCGTCGTTGTCGTCCCTGCCACCCGTGCCGCGCGCCGATCGTCCTCCTCCTTCTCCTCCTCCTCCTCCTCTTCCTCCTCCTCCTCCTGTTCTTCATCATCATCGTCATCAGTACACATATAACGGCGCACCGGGTCCGAGGGCCCGGGGCCGGGACCCCGACCACAAATGTGCGCCCCGGGGGGCCCGGAGGCTCGTCGGGGCTTGCCGGAGGCCTCCCCAGTCAGACAAGACGGCCCAAGAAGCGCCCAAGACGGCCCAAGAAACTTCCAAGAGGCCTCCAAGAGGGCTCCGAGATGCTGAAGATGGCCTCCAGACGTCCAAGGACGCTCCCAAGAGGCCCCAAGAAGCCTCCAACATGCGTCCCAAGAGGGCCCCTAGACGCAAAAATTGGCCCATTCCCTTCGTAAAACGTACATTTTTAACAAAGTTGTCTTTTGGGCTTTCCGACGTTACAGGACGGCCCAAGAGGCGCCCAAGACCGCCCCAAGACGGCCCAAGAAGCTTCCAGAGGGCCCCAGGACAGCCCAAGAGGGCCCCAAGACGGCCCAAGAGGCGCCCAAGATGGCCCAAGAGGGCCCCAAGACGGGCCCAAGAGGGGGCCCAGAGGGGGCCACGAACCGCAAGCTCGAGCCTTCCGCCCCAAGAGGCCGCCAGGAGGCCCCCAGGAGGCCCCTCAAGAGGCCCCAGGAGACCCCAGACGTCCAAGGACGCCCCCAAGAGGCCCCAAGAAGCCTCCAACATGCGTCCCAAGAGGGCCCCTAGACGCAAGAATTGGCCCATTCCCTCGTAAAACGTACATTTTTAACAAAGTCGCCTTTTGGGCTTTCCGACGTTACAGGACGGCCCAAGAGGCGCCCAAGACCGCCCCAAGACGGCCCAAGAAGCTTCCCAGAGGGCCCCAGGACAGCCCAAGAGGGCCCCAAGACGGCCCAAGAGGCGCCCAAGATGGCCCAAGAGGGCCCCAAGACGGGCCCAAGAGGGGGCCCAGAGGGGGACCACGAACCGCAAGCTCGAGCCTTCCGCCCCAAGAGGCCGCCAGGAGGCCCCCAGGAGGCCCCTCAAGAGGCCCCAGGAGACCCCAGACGTCCAAGGACGCCCCCAAGAGGCCCCAAGAAGCCTCCAACATGCGTCCCAAGAGGGCCCCTAGACGCAAAAATTGGCCCATTCCCTTCGTAAAACGTACATTTTCAACAAAGTTGCTTTTGGGCTTTCCGACGTTACAGGACGGCCCAAGAGGCGCCCAAGACCGCCCCAAGACGGCCCAAGAAGCTTCCAAGAGGGCCCCAGGACAGCCCAAGAGGGCCCCAAGACGGCCCAAGAGGCGCCCAAGATGGCCCAAGAGGGCCCCAAGACGGGCCCAAGAGGGGGCCCAGAGGGGGACCACGAACCGCAAGCTCGAGCCTTCCGCCCCAAGAGGCCGCCAGGAGGCCATCAGGAGGCCCCTCAAGAGGCCCCAGGAGACCCCAGACGTCCAAGGACGCCCCCAAGACGCTTCGCGTCACCAATTTCTTCTCGCAACGATTCCTGGGTCTGTGACTCGACAGAACCTAAGCGCGCGCGAAGCGCGCGCGTGGTTCTAGTATTATCATCATTATCATCATCATCGTCATCATCATCATCATCATCATCATCATCATCATCAGCATCATCATCATCAGCATCATCATCATGATCATCATTATCATCAGCATCATCATCATCCTTCTCCTCCTCTTCCTCCTCTTCTCCTCCTCCTCCTCCTCTTCATCTCCGACATCCTCTTTCGCCTCCCCGTGGCCCCCATCCTGCTGTGTCCTCGTCCCTGTCCTCCTCGTCCTCCTCCTCGTCCTCGTCCTGCGCCCTGCCGCCCGCCTCTTCGTCGTCCTCGTCCGCGTCCTCTTTCCCCCTTCTTTCCCTCGTCGTCGTCGTCGTCGTCGTCGTCGTCGTCGTCGTCGTCGTCGTCCTCCTGCTCATCCCTCCGCCCTCCTCCCTCCTCCTGCCTCTTCCTTCCCCTACTCCGTAACCGTTGTTGCTCAAGACGGCATTCTTCGATCTTGCTATGGAGATGCCACGCAGCGGGCTCATGTCCCGTTCGTCCATGTCGTTCATTTGCGGCCGCGCAACGATGTTCACCAACGACGCGATGTATCTGTCTCAAGTCCGTAATGATTTCGACGCTCCACGTGAGCAGAGTGGTACTCATGGGCATCTTCTTGCCTTGGCCTGCGCCTCGAGCGCGATACTGGAGCCTGCTGCCGCACGGCTCCCCGGCTCCTCCTTCGAGGGCGAGTCCCTCCGCATTACATGCTGAGATGGCATCGCCCCGACCAGATCCTCAAGGAGAAGACCAGGTTGCCGGGCACGGGCCTCCCAGAGCCGCCCACACAGTGGCGCCCGCAGAAGTCGTCCCTCAAGGCCTTCGCGAAGGAGGTCTTGACTGACGAGGGTTTTGGCCGGCCTCGTCTGGGACGACGAATTTCGCGTTCTTTTCGGAGCGATTCCAGTCCACAAATTGCCCAGGAAGCGGTCCACGAGCGAGCTCGTGAACAGTGCCAAGATTACACCGCGCGCTGCCGCATACATCGAGGAAGCAACTTTCGACGGCCCCGTGCGTGACCAGGGCGAAGTCACCAGCATCAGCGGTTATCCTTGGAATCGCAGACGTGGGTACGTGCGCGTGGATTAGCGACGTGTCCTGTTTCCGCTCCGCCCGTTCCGTTTTCTCCAGAGCCGCCACGTATGAACCAGTTTGCAGTCGTGGCCTGTTGCTGAGGCCCGTGCGCCAGACCACCTCGACGGGGTCGACGCTGCGGCGGCGCACGGTGCAGGCGAAGATGGAACGTGCCGAAGCGGATGCGGATGTTTGCAGCGCGGTTGCCCCCCCCCCCCACACACACACACTGTCGCCGCCGACAGCGACGAGTACGAGGACAGCTTCCTTGGAAGCTCGTAGTGCCCAGACTTCTTGGGCAGCTTCTTCTGAAGCCTTGGAGGGGGACTGGGTCCTCCTCCACCTCCTCCTCCTCTTCGTCCTCCTCCTCGTCGTCTTCCTCCTTCCCCCGTCCAACTTCTGGTGGTGGTGGTGGTGGTGGAAAACAGGCCCATAATCTTTTTTCCCCGTCGGCCTTGCGAGCCCGCTAGGGGCACTACTTCGTGTTGGTTCCTCGTCAGTGCCCAGTGCTGTGGTGCGCGGTCGTGCAGGGCTCTTGCCACCTCGCTGTCTCTGCGTTGCGCGTGATTGGGCTCTCTTGGGCCGTTCTTGGGCCCTCCTGGGATGCCTTGGGGCCCCCTAGGGCGATATCGGGCTTCT